AAGGTCCTATTAGCCTTAATGTTTTTTTGTATTAAAATAATCATTTTCCAGTTTCTGATTCCACGTGTAAGGAGCTTGGAAGTTGCCACTACGTCCTAACAACAAGTAAAAAGCTGAACAAACTGAAAAATCCGCAGCTCTTCTTAGATCTGTAAGAGAAACTAGGTCACAGGGAAAACTGCTTTCCTCCAAATGGGAGAGACAGACAAGCAGACACAGAGAATCACAGTATATTGCAGCAGAAACCTCCTTAGGAACCAGTACTGTGGTAGGAAAACCTGAGCTGTAATTGACAGATTGCTGGGGCCAAGGTATGGAAAAGTGAGAGTTAAAAACTCTAGGAGGGGCCGAGCACAGTGGCTCATGCCTATAATCCTAGCACTCTGAGAGGCCGAGGTGGGTGGATGGTTTGAGTTCAGGAGTTCGAGACCAGCTCTTGAGACCAGCCTGAGCAAGAGCGAGACCCTGTCTCTACTAAAATAGAAAGAAATTAGCTGGACAACTAAAAGTATATAGAAAAAATTACCAGGGCATGGTGGCGCATGCCTGTAGTCCCAGCTACTCGGGAAACTGAGGCAGAAGGATCGCTTGAGCCCAGGAGTTGGAGGTTGCTGGGAGCTAGGCTGATGCCACGGCACTCTAGCCCAGGCAACAGAGTGAGACTCTGTCTCAGGGGAAAAAAAAAAAACTCTAGGGGAACCCAGTCATAGAGCAAGCCCCATGCTTTTGTAAGTTTTACCTCCAGGAACTCTACCAGATTCTCAGGGTAAATAACAGAGAAAAGTCCCCTCATCTTCCATCACAGGGAGGGGAAAAAGGAACACTTTGAAATAAATTAGAGCACTCTTGTTTTTCTTAACAATGACTGCTATCAGGAGAAACCAGTAAACCAGAGCCTGACCTGCTGGGGCTTTAGCATAAGTGCCCTGAGGGAAGGGAAATACCCACCACCAGCCTGTCTTACCCAAGGGTGAAAAAACCTGAGAAGCACTTGTGAAGTTCACAGTCCAAAGGCACAGACTCAGAAAAAGGCGGAGGCCTAACCACAGGACTGTGGAACACTTCCCCTGCCCCCATATCTTCCCTCCACATTACTAACGGACTATTTACAGCAGTTCTGGGACATCATGTATAGCTTTTAACAAAGATGTACACGGCATGCTGAAAGGCAAAAAATACAGTTTGAAGAGACAAAGCAAGCATCAGAACCAGGTGTGGCAAGAATATTGGAATTATCAAACAGGGATTGAAAACAGCTATGATTAATATGCTAAGGATCAAGTTGACAGCAATGGATAAAGTTGACAGCATGCAAGGGTAGAGGGTCAGTGTAAGCAGAGAGATTTTAATCCTGGAAAAGAACCAAAAAGGAATGCTAGACATCAAAAAACACAACAGCAGAAATGAAGAATGCTTTTGATGGATTCATTAGTAGACCAGACACCGCTGAGGAAAGAATCTCTGAACTTAAGGATGAATCAACAGAATCCTCCAAAACAGAAAATCAAAGAGAACAAAGACTGAAAAAAAAAAAATCAGAACGGAATATGCAAGAATTGTGGGATAACTACAAAAGATGTAATATGCATAATGGGAATACCAGAAGGAGGACGAAAAGAGAAAGGAACCAAAGAAATATTTGAAACAATAATGACTTAGAATTTCACCCAATTAATGTCACAACACACCAAACCATAGATCCAGGAAGCTCAGAGAACGCCAAGCGAGATAAATACTAAAAAAAACCCTACACGTAGGCATATTATTTCCAAACTGCAGAAGAGCAAAGATAAATAAAAAATCCTGAAAGAGGCCAAAGGGAAAAAACACCTTACCTACAGGGGAACAGAGAAAAGAATGACATCTGACTTCTCCTCAGAAACCATGCAAGCAAGAAGAGAATGGAATGAAATATTTAAAATGTTGAGAGAAAAAAAACTACTAACCTAAAATTCTGTACCCTGAGAAATTATCCTTCAAAAGTTAAGGATAAAGACTTTCTCACACAAAAACTGAGGAAATTTGTGGCCAGTTGACCCACCTTGCAAAGTC